ATTTAAAACATTACATAGATTATATAAACTGTAAAATATTAATAATAATTGTGTTAATATTATTATTAATAGTGTTACATACATTTTTTTGTTTGTTTTGTTTATTAATTAATGGCACCTCCACCTCTTATGAGGTTGGTGATGCACCTGGGGTGGTGGCGACAGAGAAAACCAGTGGTGTGGCGTGTGAACTTGCTGCAGCAGATAACTAAGGATTTTGATAGATAAAGAAAGTATGGTGTGGGTAACCTCCATGAAAGGAGTCTTCACCTCGGGACTGATCGACCCAGACGGGCGCGTCGGATGTTTGAGCTGGGATTTCATTTTATTACGTTTGTTTGGAATGTACACCGGAAAAGTCACACCCCTGCCACTCTAATTCGCCATTTTTTGGAGAGAAGGGGGGATCACGTTTTTGTTTTGTTTTTTGTTTTGTTTTTAAGAAAAAAAAGAAAAAGTAAAAGAAAAAAAGAAATCTTGTACAGACCATCTGATGGAGTAAGGAGGAATCGGCCGCTTTGAGCTGACCACCAGGACCGTGACCCACAGAGCTGAAGCTACAGGTAGACCCTCACCTCACTGTGTGACCCGTCAGGTGCCAGGTTTTGTTTTCATTTTTATTTATTTATTTATTAATTTATTACCACCCTACACTCTCACTTAAGTGGAGAGAACGAGCCTAGAGAGTAATGGGTGCGTAACAAGCGGGAGGGGGAAATTTTGACCATTTATTCTCTCTTTACGTGTTTTAAAACGCCATTTTTCTTCATTTATTTTCAGAATATTTTGAATAAATGGCCCTGTAAAAAACAAAAGAAATTGTTTACCTGCCCAGTCGGGCAGGCATTGGGACACACCCACCTGCCCGACAATGGGTTTTACCTGCCCCGGGCTGTCGGGCAACAGGAGTTGTCGAACCCTGGAGGAGGGTAAAAAGTTCCTCCAGCACGTTGTTACAAAGGGCCGGCCGAGTTAATTTTTGTCATGAAACAAATTCAATTCAAATTCAAATTCAAAAATACTTTATTGATCCCAGAGGGAAATTAGGTAAAACTGGTGAAACTGGTGAAACTGGTGAAACTGCGACGATCCGAGCCGATTTGGAAGTAGCTTTTAGACTAATAATATTTTTGTTCTCAGCAGTGTAGAACCATTCAAGTGTTGACCTTGGTCCCAGCCTATCTGAAGCTAGCATCTCAGATTATACTTGAAATGTTGATTGAAGTTTCAGAGGTTTGTTGTTTTTACCCCAGTTTTAATTGAACCAGTTAATTTAGTTAACTTCAGACCGTCACATTCTGTTTGTTTTTGAACTTTTTATTTTATTTTTATAAAACAACACAGACCAGAAGTGGATCAAATTACTTTTCTAAATTTTTAGATTTGCCTGAAATGTTGAGTGAATGAGAAAAATAACCAGAACTTGTT